AACATTTGTGTAAATGACTAAAAAGTAACCATATTTTGTATTTATTTCACTAATGATTAAAAACTAATCTTTCAATAGTGTTTAGTAATAAAACGTATCCAGTCTAAAATATGTGTTATAAATTATAATTAATAATAACTCGTAGTACCGTAATAATTATGAAACTGACGTCAACTGTGCCCTAAACTATTAAACTAGTGAATAATTATTGAATTTAAGAGTTATATTAAGTTATGCAAGAGATATAAAGGATTGCATTGAAACTGAAATTTTAAAAGTTCACTGGAGCTCTGAAAGTGCTGTACATGTGATGAACTACTGCTGTACATTGCCACTTGCACTGTAGGCATAATATGTAATGTTCATACAATTGGGTTTACAAATTATGGGTCTATTTGAGTGACAATTAAATGAATTTGGTCTGCACTTTGAAGTGTCAATCAATGTGTTTGTATTGATATGTAATTTGTAATAATGAGAATACTGTACCGGTATAAACAAGTTAGTATAGCTTTGGTCAATGAAACCGGTATTTTCAATACTTTTTATTTGTCTACTTTTAAAATCATATAAAATGTAATTGAAATTAAAATGAAAGTGATTTCAGATGCGATTGGAAGTAGACTCAAACAATTGGGAAAGGGATGACACGGGATAATATGTGGGATGGGATGGGAAAGAGTGGGTAATATTTGGTAATAATGTGAACCCTATTGAAGCGCTATCTCGGATGCAATCACTCATACATTCACTTCAATAACAATTCATTCGTTAATTCAATACAAACTTTGCGTTTAAAGTGATATTCATTTAATAATTGTATGATTAGTTTATTAATTAAACGGACTACCTTGATCAATCACTTAGTTAACCAATCATTGACTCAATTGAACCGCAAACTGACTCATAAAATGGATGTAAAATATTTAAGGTAAACCAAACACTTGACTTACCGTATAGTTTGTATATTTGTAATGAATTAGTTGTTCATTAATTCAGTTTTAATAACTAGATCACTTTTTATATTGATTCAAATATATCAATAATTATGTATGTAGATTCAATAATATATATTATATACTGAAATAGTTTTTATAATTTATTTACTTATTTATGCTGTGAAATTCTAAAAATACTATCTAGGTAAATAAGTTCTGACAATCATCTTGGTAATTTGAAGTAATTTTTGAACTTTCATACTTAAGCTCAGTGGCAGTAAATGAAAGAAATTGTATTTTCTTAAATTTAAATCATAAAAATGATGATATGTTTAAAAATATAAGCAATTAATTTAGTATCAGATCTAAATTTAGACAACATTACAAAACATAGATCACCATAGGATCAGTTCAATTAGTATAATAGCTTTCGTTTTAAGAAAAAATATGACTCCCATTGAATAGCATGGTTAAATTATAATCAAATTTTCTTAATTTGATTTACAATTAAACGGTGATTTAAAAATTAACCAGACACAATTCATTTCTATCTCTGGTGTTGTTGTGAACAGTGATCATTCATTTAGAGTTGAACACAAATATAGTCATCAATATTATTATCAAGTCAATTATTAGTGACTATTTGATGCCACTATTTGTTACAAATTTGATGTCAGCAAACAATTAACTAATTTTTAACCACAATTACCTAGCTAATTGTGGCACTTATGTACATAAAGTTGTAGATCCTGAGCTAAGCTATAATTTGCGATACTATTTGTCATTTAATTGCAATTACTTTTAAAGTTATTTAAGTTTTAAAAATCAATTTTTCTTAAAACGAAAGCTATCCGGCTAAGTTGATTCCTTTATGAGACAAGTAGTGTAGACAATAGTGTATTGACAGTATAAGCAAGGTAATCAAAATGTTCTTAAACATGATGATTGATTGGACAAACAGTTGATGTATTGAAACATTGATGAATTGCAGTCAAACCGAAGCCATCAAAATAGATGAAGAGTTGTTCTCCGAGTATGGCTTTAGTGTGGATCAGTTGATGGAGTTGGCGGGTCTGAGTGTTGCCACAGCCATCGCCAAAAGCTACCGTACCGTCAATGGCGATAACCGGCCAACGGTTCTCATCTGTTGCGGTCCCGGCAATAACGGCGGCGACGGACTCGT